TTGGGGTGTTCCCGCCTCCGCGGGGTGTGGGCCGTGGCCAGTCCTGAGGAGAGGGCGGCTCTTCCTTCGGCCGCTCGAGTTCGTGGAGCTCTTCACAGACTGTAACTGGGAGCCGGCCCCTGGAGGCGAGACCAAGCTGCCTCACGGAATAGCGCCGGTCCGCCTGCCCCGCTCCTGGAAAAGGAAAAAAAAAAAAAATTTAAAAAAAGAGCTCTGCTGTGCTTTCACACACTGAGAGGCTCTGCAAAACTCTCTGTTTAAGCAGCCAAATTCCTTGTGGTATCCTTCAAATCTCGATCTTCGCTTTTGCTTCTCTATAATGTAATCTTGTTTACACTTTTTTTTTTTAAAGTTTTTTATTTTATGCATCCAAATGCTTAATGGATTATAATTTCTAGTCCTAAATCCTCACATAAATTAAAATGCTCGTACTGACATAGTTCTCGGATGCTCCTCTGTTTTTTGCTTGGAAACCTCAGAAGTTTTTTGTAATTTTGCTTGTGTTAAGCAGTGTTAAAGTACCTTAGCTGATAAACCACAAGTGTCCTAATGGAGAAAAAAGTACTTTATTCTTCCATTAAAACTGCTGGGTGGCACAAAGCAGTTGCATCCTCACCAGGGTTTTTTTTTTTTTGTTGTTGTTGTTGTTTTTTTTTAAGAAAAATATGTTTTCTTAAATACATCTCAAAAATTTCACTTATTGATTTTCTATATCCAAACCTCATTCAAAAGTGCAGTATTTCTCTCTGTCATTGTTTAAGTTAATCAGGATATGTACATTGGCAACTATGTCTCACATATTGCAGCTTTGTGTCTCTTGCTTTTCCTTCTGCTCATTGTTTCTTCCTGGATTTCCTGTGAAGTCAGCTCTCTCCACAGAAGTGTGATAAAATAACACTTCGTACTTCCCCAGAGGTTTTGACATGCATTTCATGGAAAGCTTCATTCTAGTCTCATGGAGCCAGGGATAAACTAATTTGTAGGAGATTAAAAAAGAACAATGTGTATGAAAATACCAGGTAACTGATGGTTATTTGAGACTATTGCTCAAAGTACAATAACAAGGAGAGCTGAACGAACCCTAACGTCTATAATATAAAATGAGATTCATTATGCAAACTATTGTAATGAAGCGGAAAAACTCCACAAGTCGTGAAAGTTGTAAAGTAGCTATGTCGTTTATTCAGCGCTGAGGCGCATGGGGGATAGCTCCACCAAAGGCATGCGCGCCTTTTCACAAAACCTATCCCTCTATTTATTCCCCAAAATGTTGCATATGCATTAAGTTTTGTAATCCATTGATTCATATTAGTTACCTAGCCCCGCCTAGCTCTGCTTTGTATTATAATGAGCTAAAGAGTCCTTCTGCGCCTGCGTCGTGCTCCCTGGTGGTCGACAGGATGAAGTAAATGAGTCTTCATCGGAGTTGAACTTCTCACCTCCTGGTCTCTTGGTCTCAGTCCAAAGAACCAGGACAGTTCCCAGCTTGCTTAGAGGCCCGAGCAGTCTTCTTTATCTCCGCAGCCTTGCAGGTGGTGTATTCTCTTCTCCAGTTTGGGTTAGCAGTTCCTCCCCTATCATCACAGCTTTGATCCTCTCATCCTGTCTTTGCAAGCATGGCAAACGTTAATCATATATTGTCCAAACAGGAGGTATTCTCAATTAGTTATTCTTTGGTCCCTTGTTAACTTTAAATCCCCCTGTCTCAGTAAACAATTATTAACTTATTAACGATTTAAATAAGAATACTGGGTGCTCTGTTTTAGGATTTAGGCACCTGAGACTGTGGTGCACAAGCATTCATTGAAACTAGCTGGGACTGGAGATCTTTCCAACAGCTTCAGCAGACACAGTCAGGCCTCTGATGAAAATGTAGTACCTGGTAGTTGCTGGTGATAAATGAACCCTTCTGTACAACAACCATTTAATTAACCTTTAGTGCTCAGGACTTCACATACTGAGGTGGTGCCTTCCAGTATGCGCTTCAGCAGTCTGCGCTGAAAGAAATTTTGTGGACATCCATTTAATAAAATTTGATAACAAATGGTTAAACTGATGAGCTGAGAGTGCTTCAGTCAGAGCAATTTACCTGATTTCTGTCACGGTAGTTTTGGTAGAGTGGACCTACTATTTTCTTTGAGTGGTGTCTGTCCAGTGCCCTTTTTATGTTGTACTACTAGTGATCATGCACAAAAAGCAGTGCAATGTTAAAAGGGCATTGGCCAGCAATACTATCTACGTTACTCATTCTTCTTCTTATTATTATCGTAGTCATGACACAAAAAGCAGTGCAATGTTAAAAGGGCATTGGCCAGCAATACTATCTACGTTACTCATTCTTCTTATTATTATCATAGTCATGAGTCCAAAGTCACTGTCTGAGGCCAGAAGGTGATTTGCAAAACAACTGTAAAATGGGATTGCCACTATAGTTTTTTTTTTTTTGCACTCATTTTCTTATCATTATTTGCCAAGGAGAAATGTTAACTGGTCTTTTTATGATAAATACCATCAACTCCGTGTGTGTGTGTTGCCTTAGAAATAAGTGCCCTACAAAGAGGCAGGAACACCGTACAGCATCCTTATTTCCTCCGGTGTTTTCTAGGGAAATGTTACAGGTGTGGAGTTGACTCAGGTTTCTGCTCTGTGTGCATTAGCAGTCATCCATCTCTCTCCACTCCATTCCTCTGTTTCTTTGCACTTTGTCGTTAAGAATCTTAGCGCCTTCAAACCTTAAGAGCTCACAGACTTTTTATATGAAGTTTCTGTTTTGTTAAAAAGAAACACCTTTACTGAGGTTTATGAAATACACCCCCACTTTGGTGCTCTGACATCCACGTGGTAACCCCAGTGGTAATGTACGTCCACAATGATGGGAAATGAGTGCGTGTTTAAGTGCATTTTAAAGTGATTTGATACCTGCAAATGAGAAGAATAAACTCTAGTGCCCAGAAAATGTTCCCTGTAATGCAGTTTAAGAACATCTGTCTGATAGCAGTTTAGAATCTTTGCTTGCTATGAGGCAAATCTAATCAATAAATACATTTGGAAATGTAGTTTCCGGTTAATAGAGCACCAAATTGCTTGAAATTTAATTTCTGACAGATCTGTTGAGCATTTTGTTGAGTCTTTTTTCTCCTTTCCCTTCTTGGTCAGTGGAATAACAGGGATTATGAATAACAATGATGTCTTGCAATATGTGAATTCCTTTGTGTCTGTATCAGGACTTGGTGAATGTTAACCTTACGCAATTCTCCATGATCCACAGAAACCACTATCTGACTCGACCTATTTTTTCTGGTACATATTTTGAGTGTATTGATTACTTATACAGAATTCTTGCTGCTAACGAATGCTCTGACTTTATTGCACTACTGTACTTTACAGCTAGCAGTGCAATAGTATTGTCAAAGCATCTGAAAGCAGAGTACGCAGCAATGGCTTGAGTCGGCCTCACAGTTTCTAACACTTTCTTCTAAGCCTGTGGTTAAATTACAAAATTACACTTCAAGACCTGCATTTTCTGTGCGATTGTGGTACAATACTCATCATAGGACTCGTTCTAACCTGTGTCATTGAGATTTTTGCACGTGTATGTTTCCTGAAATACAGCAAGAAATAAATATTTCTAAAATAAAGGAAAAATGGATTGTAATGGAGGAATATGTGACAGTGCTTATAAACATGCTTTGAAATTGCTGGTAATAAGTTTTGTTTCTTCTAGATTTAGCATACTTTCAGGAAAAAGTAGTGATAATGAACTGTTAGTATTTTCATTAAGCCCAAATCTTAAAATTACAGCCACATGATGGATAAGTGTTCAGCTTCACATTAAATTTTTAGGGTCCTGAATCACAGTAGCAGCATGGTATTAGTGGCTTACTATCATTCTGTAAATCCCAGATTACCAGTATTGAATATTTCAGGAACAGATCTTCATAGATAACTTTGAAAGCTACCCACATTCATTGTCTGCTTTCCCAAAAATTAATCAAATGGAGGAGTTGGAGAAAAACAAAAAAATTATCTTTTTGGGGTGCCTGCCTCTAGAAATGAAAACCTAAAAATGTTTACTAGTGGAAGAGAACAGAAATGATTGAGTTAGGAAAAAAATCCCTTATGAACTCTTTAAAAATACATAGTGTAATGAAAAGTGTTTTATTCTCACCTTTTATTGTGCCTGGTTTCTGGGGTAGATGTGGGAAGGAGTTCTGTTGGGCAGGTGGTAAGTTATGGGAGTAACAGGTGGAAGCTTTCCCTTTCATTTATAGATGCTCAAGGTCTTCACTGGGTTTATTTGCCTTTTCTTAAGCTATTATTTGAAAATTCACTGAAGGTGCGTATGTAACATAATACATTTTCAGCATATCAGGAAGGGGATTTTACTTGTAGAATATCTGGGGTTGAACACTTCCTTAGGCTGCCCCAAGTTCCAGATCTCTGGGGTATATACACATGGCAGTTCCTGAAGGTGGATCCCAATGCTGATGTTTAAACATAAGCATCCTTTTGGTACCCAGGCCTGGCTGCAGGCTACATCCAACAACACGTGGAGTTTGTCACCACAGCTGCCATTAGAGCACTGCCAGTTAGTACTCTGGGATTCAGTCAGCAAATACAACCTGATTTTGATCCTTAAGAAGTGGTAATGATTACTTCCGGGTTAATCTCAATAGAAACAGTGAAAACCACACTGAGTTAAGTTACAAGCATTTTAAACTTGCTTTCATCATAGTCTCTTTTGTGACTGTAAAATCCACAAGTTATTACGTGAAGAAATTCATGAGGTTTTTGTGAACTGGGAAAACTGCCCTTCTTTAAAGCAGAAATCCTTAATAGATATTAAAATTGCAGACTAAAATTAATTAACAATGCTATCAGCAGACTGTTTTACAAGGCAATTGTATAATTCTCTGGTGGTTTATTTATCCCAAGGAAAGAAATGTGTTGTCATCGATTTTATTATCTATTTATCAGTCTGGTTTATTGGGGAATAATAAAATGTATTGTGGGTGTTATAAACATCTGAGAGAATGCATTCCTAATGTAATTAATAAAATCTCTGTTCTTGGATCCTGAACACTTATTCATAATCTCTGCTGTGTGAATAACTAAGTATTGTAGTTTTGCTAACAGAACTTCTAATGTTAGAAAAGAAAAGCAACTAGCCAAGAAAAAGCTTTAAAAATGATGGAAAATATGTTAATATCTCAGGAGAAAAACCCAAACATCTCCTGCATCAAGTGAAGATGAGTTTAAAAAGGATGCATGTTCTTCTCCATTGATATAACTTACTTCTTTGGTGTACTTCTTAAAAACTTTCATCTTGAGAGGTTTGGCATTGCAAGGGAGATGAAGGATAATAAAGGAAGAGATGGAAATGTTTTCATGCATTTTGGGGTGCTGATGGCAAGATGCAAAGAGAACAGTTGGGTAATTTGGGTTAGATAAATGGTTAGATGATAAAATTAATAGAAGTGTGTGTGTGTGCACACACATTTAACTCTTACATGTGGGAGGAAAATGGTTAAGTCTGAAAGTTTATTGCTGCTTTGTATTTTTCAGGCTGGAAGTGTGTGGGCATAATTGTCAAACATTAGCTCATGGAATAGATCTGAGGAATAGAAACTTAACTTCACAGTACATGAACCTTTGAAACGGAGGCGTCTGACTTCTGCTTTCCTGAAATACAGGAAAGGAGGATGACGGGGTTTTGTCTGCAATTTTTGTTTTTTAATACACTGTGGCTGATCTTAAATGTTTTAGTTCCAGAAGGCAGAGTCTGATCTGGATTATATTCAACACAGACTGGAGTTTGAAATAATGAAAAGTCTTCCTGATAATGCACCAGCAGAGGTAGTATTTTCAGATGAAATTAATAGATTTTATTGCATTTTGCATGAAGTTCGTAATAAATGGGTAATTGTCTTTAATGCTAAAATATTTGTGGCTGTTCTTTTATCTAGTTGTTAGTTGGATTATATTATTAAAATAACTGGCCTAATATGAATTCAGTGCAGAAATTAACAAAACTTCCTTGATTTCTTGGCGTAGTGAAATTCTCCCATGTTTTGCTCTGAGAAAAGAGTAATAGCGTTAACACCTAGATTTAAGAGACAGATTCCAATCTGAGCTAAAACACACCCTTGCTCTGAGATCAAAGATGAACTTGCTAATAAGCAATGAATAGATTCAGATTTGGGGGAGAGATGAGAGGAAGAGGGAAACAAAAAATGGCAGCATGTAAAGGGTTTTATAAGTCCTTGTCTCCATGTATATTGTGACATATAGTTGAAAAATAATCTTTTTAGTTAGAAGTGCCTGATGTATTGCAATGCAGAAAAGCCATTAAAATTCACCAACACAATAAATTCATCATCCTGTGTTTGTTGTGGAACCAAGGAGTTGGGCTGTTTTGTTAACACTATCATTTTTGCTTATGAAAAATTCAATGTCTAGATGAAGCAGATGCTCACAGTTACACTTTGCAATTAAAAGGGTTGTTTTATGTTATATTTTAGGGGCTCTAATGCTGATGCTTTTAATTGGTATGTGGCCACATTAATTTTCTCATCTTGAATCGTTTAAATGTACTTTTAATTTCTACATAGGAAAATCCAGTCGCTCTCTTGCAACAACTCTCCATGGTGAAATCTCGTTATAAAACATTATGTATGCAGCTGGAAAAAGTTTCCATAGAGCAGAGAGAATGCATGGAGGGCATCCGTGCTGCTATAGAGAACACACTGAAGATGGTTCAGCCATTACAGCAGCATTGTTGTCTGGAGGTAGTATTTTCATTTTAATCACTCGGGTCTCACTCCTGTACATGAATGCGTACTTGCGTAACCTTTATGTAGACATGAGTACTTCCACTGGAAACTGTTACATGTGTAGACTCTTAGAAGACTCTCAGAAAATAAGATGACTGTTTACCTGAAGAAATTATTGTAAGATTGGAGCTCTTTTTGTAAATCAAAAGCCTGATTCATCACTCAACAGTTAAGCTAGCGGTATTCAGTTTTGGAGTTGAAGTAATACCATAACAGCGTGAATACTGTAATATGTGTGACATACGCTTGAATAGTTTTGTAGAAATTGATGCCCCTGTGCACAACTGTGTCCCAGTTCTATACTGATTTTTTTCTTTAAAGTAGCTCCCTTAAAGAAATTAGAAAGTGAAACAAAGTTTAAAAGGCAAAGCAGCTTTTAAATGGCAAAAGTATTTTCACTGTCTGAATTCAGTAACTAAAAACCAACATGTTGTTACATATGTGGTGAAATGGCTGATAGTGCAAAGAAATAATTTTTTCTCAGGATATAATGCCTATCCATCTGTTAAAAAAACCCAAGAACAACCAACACATTTTCATAAGTGGTCTTCAGACACTGCTTCATTACAGTTTTGAAGAGGCTGTGAAAGCATTAATTTTGTCCCTTTACAAATAAGGTGATTTAGATCAAAAAAGCTAATTGATAGTCTAGTGGCGAAGACAGAACTGGTGTGACTAAAACATACTCCCAGATCTCAGCTCTCACTTCAGTGTTCTAATGACAGTGCCCCAAGTTGTCTTAAATCTGTCGGCAGCTCTAAACAAACAAGTCTTTATAGATAAAATGTATTGTATCGTGATTTAAAAGACAGTAGTTATACGTCACAGAAAGGAAGAAATATTTTCTCTATCTGTGTGCCACGGATATGCTGTCAAGAATATTTTAGTATTTGGATTTTGTTAAAGTGGAAGACTCTTGTCTCTTGAGTTACATTTAGAATTTTTAGATAAAGATTTTCTTGTACTTTGTATATTTCCTAAACCAGAGAGAGATTAAACTGTTATAGAGAAACGTAAGTCATGAAGTGAAATACTTCTTTTATTGAATAATTTATCTTTCTGTTGAATCATTTATAGTATTGATGTTAAAGGACTTGGTTGGATTTTTCAGAAATACTTGGCTTGTAAATTTGCTTTCATTTGAAGAACAGTAGGGAAAACTCATAGTTTCCATGAGAAAGGGGCTACACAAACATTGAGGAGTTCTGTAAATATCGTTATCCTAGGAACTGAAGGTATCAGTTCTGGTTGTTGTTTTTTTTTGTTTTGTTTTTTTTTTTTTTAGTACTTACCTCTGTCAGAAGAAGAACAGACTGCAGCACAGCAGTTAGCCTGCCAAACTGCTGAAGAAATGGACTCGCTAGAGGAACAGGTAATTAGGCCACACAGTATCAGTATTCCAGAAACCATTAATCCTGCATAGCTCAACCGAAGTCAGAAGGGCTGTTTTTATGACTAAATACCTCTCAAATTTTCAGAAATGGGACTAAAGTTTGTAATAGACCTTTTCATTTTTATTTTATACTGATTAAGTTTATGATTTGTTCCAATTAAAGTGTCCACGAAGGAAAAATTTCCTTTGATGGAAGACTTTGTTCCCCTTATTTCTTAGTTGGCATGTGTTTATGTTTATTTTCAGAGATGCAGTTGGTAGCTCTTGTTGATCCTATTGTTCTGTTAACGCATTATATAAGAAGCCTTTGGGTGGGAGCGCAGAATGTAATTGATTCAAACCAGTGTATATCAAAATGGAGAGAAATTTAATTTCCTGTAAAATATTAAATACAGTTTGGAGTATGAGTAACAATAAGTATATTCTAACTGTAATGCAGTAAAACAGATCTAAACTAATACTTGCTAGAAAGTCAGATATCCTCCACTAGCTGCTCAAAGCACAAACTTTAATATAATTATCTGCAAAGATTTGGTCTCGTTCTCATATTAAAAGCAAAATATTAAAGAACATTACTAGAGTGTAATTGTCTCATTGACCTTATCTTTTCCTACGTCTTCTCACTGCCCACTACTCTTATGTGAAAGCACGCCTCACTTTCTGTCCCTTTATTGCCATGGTTGGTTTGCATGAAAGCCGTCCAGTATCTTGCAGGTTCATTTACTCTTTGTTTGCAAATATATTCTCCTACCTTGATAAATGCTCTCATTTTCTGTCTTTCCATTATTTAATTCTAAAGCAGTTAAGATACAGCTGGCATAAACCACGCCCCATGCAAAATGCAGATATATCCTCCAGCGCCTGAGGCCGGTTTAATTGGTATCAGTCCTTTTGGTGTCACTGAGTGTGTTTTGAAGATGTTCTCCAAAAGGCAGAAAGAATCTAAAGATGTCACAAATTAAATTAATTTGTATAAAAATGATTTTATAATTTTCAAAACTGATTGTCAGGTTCTTCAGTAACACTTTTTTTTTTCACTTTGGTTTCACTGTGCAGATGTCCAAAACTGGGTCTATTCAGGAGAGTTTTGCTGACACATTCATACTGACAAACCCTTTCAGCTTTCAGAATCTGCATCCAGACTGTAAAAGCAAAACCCTAATGCTAAGCCATGGCCCCCGAATCCTGCCTGCCACACACCAACCCCTCCTGCCTCCCCGAGCCCTGACCCCTGTCTGGGATTTGTGCTGTGGATTCTCCTGGGCTGATGTTAACAATGAGGAAGTTTTTACCTCGGGAAATCTGTCTCTTAACGCTAAGGTTGGATTAGCAAATGACTGTTCTCAGTTTGAAGTAGCACAGAGAAGTTGATGACAATCTGAATAAGCATGAGAATTACAGAGCTCTTGCAAAAATCCTTCATTAAACAGCGTTGTGCTTTTTAGCCCTTTTCTGCCAGACCTGATATTTGATACCCTGTTTGGCTAAATAGTTTGCTTTTGTTTTACAGGGCAGCACTGAGTGTATCACAGATGAACAAGATGAATATGAAAGCCACTGACTGAAGAATAAGAATCTTGAAAGAACTTGCTATTGTGGAACTTGACAAACAAGGAAATGTTAAATTAGTCCTGTAAATGAAAGCTCAGTCCATTCTCATGTGACACAAGCACCTTGGTTGTAGTTCCTGGATTAATAACAAGCAAGTATTTCTCTGGTGCCTAGGAGTTGTAAGTCTGCTGTTGGAAAGCTGTTAATGTTTCTGTATACAAGTCCTATTTATAATACTTATATGGGAGAGTTAAAAAACATTGAGGCTGGTATTTTATCTTGGATATTTACAGGACTATAGTTGATGCATTTTTGAAGAGTATTGTTAGCCATGTGACACTTCCATATTTTTGCTTACATTCCTGAGTGTGTTTTTAAGACAACAAAGCCAACCCACTTAATTGTACTTACATTCCTGAATAAATGATTAAAGTGTTACGCTTTTGTTTATGTGACTCCTGACCCTGAGCCCTGCCCTAACCCCTGAACCTGGTCCCTGACCCTTTTAATTTTCCTTTGATATGAACTGTCTTGGTTTTTTTTACAATGAAGCAAAATTGCAGGCTTGCAGAAGGGCTGAGGTTGGAAGGGGCCTCTGGAGATTGTCCAGCTCAGGGCAGCGTCCTGAAAAACTCCAAGGATAAAAACTTCTTCACAACCTCTGTTGCAGTGTTTGACCATCCTCACAGTGAAAGAAATTTAACTTATGTTTTAATATTTTTATATTTATTTCGGCCTAACTTGAGAGAGTTCTGAAGTTTTACAAAGTTTCTTCCACATTTTTTTGTGAAAAATTATGCCTGTCAAAGGAGAGAAATTTAAATTATTGCCCTTAGGAAGGGAAAGGCTGATTTCCACATTCCTCAATGAGCTGGTTGGTCTATTTAGGCTTTGTTGGGAAGAGGAACAGGTTGTGTATCGAAGAAGAAATGGGAGGAAAAGACAAAGATAACTCGATTTGATGGTGTCTGCTGCCGAGCGTGCCCTCTTACCTACCAGGCTGCTATCACTTCACAAACTGATTTAAGCATTTAGACTTAATTATAGTGATCCATTTTCAATACAAGACTTGATCCTTACTCTCCCTACCTTCAACAGTGTTATATATTTAATTTAGTAGTGCAATCTGGCTAAAATAATTAAAGCTACCTGCTCGTGGGAGAACAGCTGCAGCTCGGATGGTGCTGCCTGGCCTGTAGCTGCAGCCCGCAGGACAGCTCCCTGGGCGGCTCCTACAGCCAGCGGAGGTGTGGAAATCCCTCCCTGCAGCTAGACTGGGTTTGGCACTGCCGGGCTTGCTCTTACTCCTTAAATCTGTCAGCACAGAGTCACCGAGCACAAAGCTTTTTGTCCTGAAACCCAACAGCTGCAAATTCCTCTCAGAAACCAACAGCGTCTCTCAGGCCCGGCACCTGCCCGCGGGCGGAGGCTCCTCAACCGCGCTGCCGGCTCGGTACCCCCCGCCTGCTTTCCGGGCGGGACT